CCCCCCCCGGTCTGCGGCCGGACTGGCCAGCACTGACCCTTGAGCTCGGCCTGCTCGTTTTGCTTCTGGAGAACCTCTGAGAGCTCATCCTCAAAACCTCTGTCCTTCTTCTGCTGACCGGCCCTCTCCTTGGCACCTGGTAGGAGAAAGGAGAGAAAAGTCCCATGTGGTTTGAGCCAGCACATTTGTCTGTGGAAGTGAAGTGTCCATGTCCTCGTCTGGGCACTGGGCACATCATGTTGCAGGCCTGCTCAGTAAGAGTCGGGGGGGGGAGGGGGATGAGAGCTTGGGGACTCTGGAAGGGTTGGCTGCCCCTGTCCCCTCCCAGCTGGGGCCCATCAGATGGCCCTATCACCTCCAGACTCAGTTTCTCATCTAGAAAATGAGAGCAAGCCCTGCCTGCTACCTTGCAGAGCAACAAAGACTCAGTTGGGGCAGAGGGTCCCAGGGGTGGAGGCGGAGAGTGGGGCCCCCTCAGGACCTGGCTGGCAGCTGGAAGACTCTGCAGCAGCAGGCAACAGGGACTGTTACCCTCCTGGGGGCTCTTGATTCAGGTAAATCCTGCTCACCCTGGACCCCATAATCTCAGACACTTGGGAGAAAACCAAACACATACCTGCATCCAAGCCCAGGGCTGGCACCTGCTGCCATGAGCCAGAGACCCCTCTCCCTGCTGCTGCCACCTGGCACTGTCCCCACCTGTGCCTTGTTCCTGATGGTGGCCCCTTGCCAAGGCCAACTCAGCAGCTGGTGATGATTATCCCCCCCATGATAGGAGTTTCTGGAATGGCCAGAAGACTGACACTGGTTGTGGGTGAGGGAGTGTGCCCAGAGGAAAGAGATCCTCTCAGCCACCCAATCTCAAAAGTGCCCCCACGGCAACAGCTGAACTCCAGAGACCACGGGGTACTGGGAGAGCTGCATCTGGTCTAGGCATGTCCCTAACTCACTGTGTGACCTTGGGCAAGACACTAAACTTCTCTGGGCCTTGATCTCTTCACCTATATCAATGGCAGACTGGACCAGGTGGTGTGGAGGACCCCTCCATTCCACTCTCCAGGTGAAAGGAAATACCCGTGTATCAGAGAGAAGCGGGACCCCCGGACCTTCCACCTGATTTCCTGACTCTCAGTCACTGGAATTTACCCAGATTCATGTGCAGTGGCTGGAAATACCTTGGAGAGCAAGGTCTTGGAGCTCTTTCAGCAAATTCTGATGTCGCAGGATCGAGAGGATCCGCTCATCTGCAATGAGGGAGAGTCGTTATGGGCCATTGCCAGAGAGCGGCCAAGGGAGCGATTGCCATCAACAGTTTCAGCTGAGCACAAGGACTCTGCTCTGGAAACTCAAAGCCTGGGTGGCAGCAGCAAGATTGGGTCTTGAGATAACACTTTTGAAATGACCTCCTTTCCAAAGCATCGGTCAGTTTTCTACTACAACAGAAAGGTCAGCCACTCTCCCCCCACCCGCCCTCGGCCAAGAGAGGGCAGCCCCGAGGTGAGGTATGGGTGTCTTCGAGCACATGTCCCCCACCTCCATGCCTTTGCTTATGCTGTCCGGCCCCCCCGGGGTGCCCTTTCTTCACTTTTCTACCTACTGGTTTCCACCTTTTCTCTTTACCCCCAACCCCAATGCTAATGTTGGCTCTATCCAACAGCTGGTCGAAGGCTTGGCAAAGCTTTTTCCTTCTCATGCCCACCCACGATGCTCCTTTATTCATCACATATCTATACGGTGTCTCCCAGGTGGCAGCAGCTGTGCCCGACACTGGGGATATAGCACACAAAATCCTTGCCTGCAGGGAGCTCACGTTCTGGTGACTGCTCTTCCAGCCCTGGTTTCATTCTGCCCAGGATCCTAACTAACTGTGTTCATATTTGTCCCCTCTGCTAGTCTGTAAGCTCCAGGTGTACAGGGCCTGTACCTCCTTCATCTCCCTGTACCACTCAGGCTGTGGCACAGGCCTGGACAAGGCCGGCATTTGGTCAATGACAGGAATTAAATCACTAAATTCCATCACAGGCCACACACCCACGCCCTCGCCTTCCGGCCCAGCAGGCAGCAGCCCCTCACCCCCAGCCTGGCTCATACCTCCTCGGAGCGTCTCAAAACACTCCTGGCTCACAGGCATGGGGCTGGGCTTGAAGAGCGTGTCAGAGATGACCTCAACGATGCACTTCATCACCTGAAAAGAGAGTGGGGCAGGTTGGGGTTGGTTTGGGCATGGGACTCAGCCCCTGAAGGCTCCAGGGCAAATTTCTAATGAGAACATAGGGCGTTTGCTCTTGTCTTCAGGAATCCATGGGTGCCTGACTCAGGGGCACAGCTCTGCTTTACCAGCCAGACAGTGATAGCAATGATAACAGAAAACCCTTATATGGTACTTTTCATGTGCCAGGCACTCCAATCACCTGGCCAGCAGGTGTCCCTCTAAGATGGGGGTGGGTACCTGGTGCCTTCTCATACCCAGGGATTTCTTTAAAGATGGGGAAGCTGCTCCTGGGCATCAGACATATGTCTTGCAAAAGTACTTTAGTCCTGCAGATGCCCCAAAGGTCAGCTATCTCCAGGAAGCCTTTCTGGACCACCCAGAGGAGCACAGAGGCCTTGTCTGGCTCGACCCTGTCTGGAAACAGGGCTTGGATCGCTGTCTCCCAACAGCCACGGTGTTGTCACATGCAGGGAGTGACAGCCTCACGATCTGGCTCCATATTCAGCCATTGGATGAATCCACTGGCTGAAGGTGGGCACACATCCCCTAAATCTGGGTGCCCATCCCAGGCCAACAGCAGCCGTATTTCTGAAAGTCTTGTCCAGTGCCTAGCAAGGTGCTGTGGATGATCAGGCACCGGATAAATGGGTATCTGAAGGTGGTGCCAACTGTCGTGTGGTATCCTAGCTGTGTTGTCTTGAGTATGCGACTTGACCTCTTGGTGGAGGAGCCTCAGTTTCCTCACTTGTGAAACAGGAGTGAGAATAACCTCCCAACGGCCCTCCCAGGGTGACAAGGCACAGATGGGAAAACACTATAAAGCGTGAGGTGCCACACACACCCAGGGAGGGATACACCACTCCCAACCTGCTTCAGCTGTCTAGAGCCAGGAGGAGGGGCCAGAGGTGTCAGACATGCACCAGGCAATGCTGGTAGGGAGTGAGGGGGTGGAAGGCTGTGTCTACAGGATGCCAAGGCAACCTGCCCAAGGATCCAGGATGGCAAACTGGCAAACAGGCTGTACAACTGTCAGCATCCTAGGAGGGAACGTTCAGGTCTTAAACAGCTGTTCTGTTGTCCCTGACCCCAGGCTCCTGAGTACAATATGGTGACCTAAATGTCTCCCAGAAGGGAGCTGGCACGGAGGGCCCTGCAGCCTGCACCTTGCCCTCCCTGCAACCCCAGACCTTGCACTGGGAACAAAGACAACCAATAGCCCACGAGGACAGATTTGCAGAGAGAGGAGCTGGTTACGGATCCCAAGGACAACGGGGAAATCGAGAAGGGAAGCTCTAGAAATAACAGTGCCCATTTATTGAGGACCTACTATGTGCCGGGCACCTCACACCTGACTCTTATTTCTCACAGCTTCCCCCAAGGGAAATATTATTACAGATGCAAAAAGGGGAAGTTCAGAGAAGTTAAGAGGTTTCCCCAGACCTCACAGCTACAATGAACAGTAGAGTTTTAAATACAGGCCCGTCTGCGAGTAGGAAACATAATTGAACAAATCGATGCTTTGGGTTTTGACCATAACCTCTCTGTAATGGAAGAAAACTCCTGGAAAGGTGGGGAGCAGAAATTTATCTGACTCTCATGCGGAGGTATCTGTGAGCACCAGAGACTGGAAGAACAGCCGCAGCTCAGACATGAATGAATTTCAAGTATACACCCAACATGGAGTGTCTCTTGTTGGCTACAGAACCCCCCACCAGTGTCTCCTAAGTTCCCTTTCCTGGGTGACATCCACCATCAGCCCTAACTGGCCGGGACCCTAGGTGCAGAAGCCAAGACCGAGAATGTTTTCATTGTGGCCCTTTGGGAGAGCTATGGCTTGAGAGGGGTGCGGTGTGCTGCTGGCAGGGCCTTGGGGGCAGGGGAAAAGCCAAGGGGGAGGTGCAGGCCTGGTTCTCGCATGTCCGTGCACAACCACAACCACAGAACAGAAAAGCCGCCCCCAGCAGCCCTCGGCAGGTCCGCCAGATTCGGAATGTTCAAGACAGTGGGTCTGACACCACAGTCCAGCAGGCGAGACACGGGCCCCACTGGGCTGCAGACTCAGCTCCCAGGAAGCTGGGGAAGCCCCCCAGCAGGGTGGCAGGGCGATCAGCAGCCTTTCAGGTCTTTTGCAAGCTGTCCCCAGCCTCAGCAGCCGCAGTGCCAGCTCTTGGCTTTATGCCAGACTCACTCCTGCAGCTGCCCAAGAGCTGGCTGTAAGGTGTCCACTGGGGCCTCCTAC